GTGTTTATGTTCTGAATACATGGCATGATAACCCTACTCTCCCCAGTGTTTATGATAAAATGGACTCACCCATTGATATTAGCTTTTAACAATCAGTATTGACATATGACCTTTAAAAATCAGCAAATTCTTTTCTCTCATGTAAAAATATATTTTTCTCCTTGAACTTTTTACCCAATCTCAGGTTTTAGGAAATGTTTAATAATATATGTAGTTTGAAATTAGAAAAAAAATTATTCTGGTAGTTTAGCTGTAACATGCTCTAAATTGAAATCCCCCTCCCCCCATCCTTCCTACCCTCCTTCCGTTTCTCCCTCTCTCCATGTATACAACTCATACACACACCTATTCAAAATGTCAAATTGACTGTCTGAGCAAAGCAACATAATGTTGTAAAGGAGATTGCAGGTGACTGTTCTAAATGGATCATATTACACAGCCATGCTGTCTATATTTGATTTGTCTCTCTACTTAAGATGTCATGCTTATACAATACAAATATAACTGTTTTTGAAACTGCATATTAAAACACATCATAAATGATATTATTTAAAAAAAAAAACACATATAAAAAGTATTTTGTGATAAAACCAAACAAAATATTGGAATAAATTGAGTTATTTGAAATACCAAGAAATATACAACTAGCAGGTTCAATTAAACAAATTTGGCACAGAGAAAATATGTGTTTTCAGAAGAATTTAATACACAAAATTAGGAGAATATTTCTCAGATTGTCTTCTGTGAAGATTTTACAGCAGTGAGACGAAATGGAACACTGATTCAGTTTAGTTTTACAAGAAGTTATATACGCAGACATGATAGAATAATTAGCATATTTTTAGTGTTTGCAGTCATTTATAATACATGTGTAGGTTACTTACATACAATTGAATACAGGCCAGCATGACTATGTGTCGGCATTGGGTCTGAGTTCTGGTATATTTCACACCAAGTCTTACTGAACTGTGTTATGCAAAACAAGTGTTCCTATCTTTTGTGTACATCTATTTATATTACATTCATTTCCTGTGTTTTCCAGATGGATTTTGTTGTGCTTCAAACGTGAATTTCCAGAAAGTGATGCATTACGAATGTGGGAAGCATGCTGGGCTCATTATCAGACTGACTATTTTCATTTATTTATCTGTGTCGCAATTATTTCTGTCTATGGTGTTGATGTTGTAGAGCAGGTAAGCATAATTTTCAGCAAGTGGTTGTTTATGATGCTTTGCTATGTTAGGATTCAGTGATGTGATTATATATCTGATTCCTTATCAATTCATCCTAACAAGGGCATATTTACAATATTTGTTTCTTTGTTGACAAATAATCCAGGAAAAAAAAAGTTTTGGTAAATAAAAAATACAGTTGTTTATATAGATCTCAGTTGCCCACCAAGACCACCCATGCTTCATATATTGTTTCCACAATTAGAAACAAAAGCAAAATGGATGCTTAAAATCTGACATCATATTTGCTCTATTATTTATTATGCATTAATATAAATGAAAGTACCGGGGTAGTATGTCTATGATCAAATTAAGACATAAATTAGTGATCTATAGTACAGTACTGTATCTGCTCCATTAGTAGCAGGTTCGCTTACGTAACAAACGTAAGTATGTCTGTGGTCAAAACAAGCTTGATTTTAATGATCCAGCACACATGTACAATAAATGCATGTTTGGTTACATGCTGGAATATTTCTGTATTTGTAACGATGTAAATTGTTAAATTATTGACATTTCATTACCATCATTTGTTTTTGTCTACAGAAACTGCCATCAGATGAGATGCTGCTACATTTTAGCAGTTTAGCCATGCATATGAGTGGTGATATGGTACTCAAAAAGGTAAAAACACTTGAAATGGTGCCATTTCTAGAAAACTAAGTTAATCAAATCAACGATTACAATCTCCCATTTATTTAAAGAAATTGCACCAAAATTGCCAAACAAACCTACAATTTGAGATATCGAATGCAAATTAATGATTCTATGAAAGAACTGATTTACTGGTATGTTCATCTCAGATTGTTTTTTGAAGTGATACAAAACGAACAATACATTCTAAGCATCCACTGCATTCTGTGACGTTTTTTGGTTCGTAACACATTTGATTAATGTGCACAGAATTTAATTGTGTTTCAACACAAAACGCGCATGTTTGAGATCTTCATTGTATTATGAAAGTTGCTTATCTTAGTATTTATTGAATACAATCTATAAAAAAACATTTAATTTGTGGAAAGAATTGCCTTTGTGTGGGTACTTTTGTCAGTGAATTGTTAGATTGCTGTATAAATGTTGTAAGTAAGTAAACTTAGTGCAACTCAATACTACATGTCTGTAAATATGTTGCATTACACAAACAATTACAAGCTTCATTTTATCAAACAGTCAATAAATTATGGAGTATTGCCAAAACAGCAAACAACAGTTATAAAATACTATAATTTCATTTATTTGACAATTCAAAATAATCCAAATCAATGTTCAGTTTAGACCGATTTCATTTCACCTTGTCGAATCAGTGGTGTTCAGGTTAGACAGATTTCACCTTGTCAAAATATGGTGTTCAGTTTATTCAGCTTTCACCTTTTCAAATCAGTGGTGTTTAGTTTAGACAGCTTTCACCTTGTCAAATCAGTGGTGTTTAGTTTAGACAGCTTTTACCTTTTCAAATCAGTTGTGTTTAGTTTAGACCACTTTCACCTTGTCAAATCAGTGGTGTTCAGTTTAGACAGATTTCACCTTGTCAAATCATTGGTGTTCAGTTTAGACAGCGTTCACCTTGTCAAAATATGGTGTTCAGTTTAGACCGCTTTCACCTTGTCAAATCAGTGGTGTTCAGTTTAGACAACTTTCACCTTGTCAAATCGGTGGGGTTCAGTTTAGACAGCTTTCACCTTGTCAAATCGGTGGTGTTCAGTTTAGATAGCTTTCACCTTGTCAAATCAGTGGTATTTAGTTTAGACAACCTTCACCTTGTCAAATCAGTGGTGTTCAGTTTAGACCGCTTTCACCTTTTCAAATCAATGGTGTTCAGTTTAGCCAGCTTTCACCTTGTCAAAATATGGTGTTCAGTTTAGACCGCTTTCACCTTGTCAAATCAGTGGTATTCAGTTTAGACAGCTTTCACCTTGTCAAATCAATGGTGTTCAGTTTAGCCAGCTTTCACCTTGTCAAATCAGTGGTATTCAGTTTAAACAGATTTCACCTTGTAAAAGTATACACTATCATTTTGTTAGATTATGTGTTCAGTATAGAGAGGTTCTCCTTGTCAGTTTTTATTACTGCAGTATAAATGTATACCTGTAATGTATTTACAAAATAAACGTGCCTAATACATGCTTCAAAACCTGTTATGTTTGTGTTGGTATTTTTGTATTTGTTTAGTTATTTTATTTTTCAAAACTATTGACACATATTTTTTTTTACATTTTTCCTCAGGCAAGGGGAATTTTACATCAGTTTAGAAAATCACCGCGGGATACTTTCCCCCCCAAATTGTTGGTGTACAGCTTCTAAGAGATTCTACATAAGACTTTTATTTAAGTGTAAATATTCCACATTACGATCTAAGCTCGTGCAGATTGTAAAAGGCTCCCTAAAATTTCAAAAAGAAACTGTGAGAAAATATGTATTTGCTTGGGAATTTTTTTTTAGTTTTATGAACAATGTTTTACAAATGTGTTGAATTACTCATTGTGCTGTTTTAGAAATGCTCCCTGGGTTTTCTAGATATGCATACTGTTAGGGAGTCTCTGACTACTTAGGCTTGTGTAGATTTTAAAGGCCCTTTAGGTTGCTGTTTATAAGATTTATTTGCTTGGATAAATTATTTTAGTCAAAAAGCATTCATATAATCTAAGCTTACATTGTTTTAAAAGGCTCACTAAATTACATGGCAAATCACTAAAAACATGCTTGCAACTTTCAAAGTCTGTCTTCGACCAGTAGCTGAGCATACAAAACATTTGACACCATATGTTAGTGTTTTTTTTTTTTTAATAAAAACAACTATAAATATTTCACTGCCAACATATTTTTTTTTTTGCATTTCTCAGCAAAATTCTTTTAATTTTTAACCAAACATACATTTTTTTGATCAACTCATCTATACAGGTTTTTTTTTAAATATTCCTGTTTTGTATTATAAAGTAGACATTCTAAATTAATTTATTCACAGGCAAGGGGATTACTGCATCAATTCCGATTACTGCCGAGGATACCCTGCTCACTGCATGGACTTTGCGTGAGGTGCGGTGTTGGCATGTGGGACAGTGGACATACACCAGAGATCTACTGTGTTGGAAACCATGAAGACGTGTTTAAGTGTCCACATAGTTTTAGTGATGAAGACTTGTCCGACTCTGCTAAAAAATCACCTTCCCCAAAAACTTCTTTACAGTTGTCTTTTGGTTTTACTAAAGAATGTCCACCATAGTCAAATTCAAATAATTTTAATGTATCACAGCTTAAATCAAAGAATGGAAAACAGAAGGAATTACACTTCCATAGAAACATTTTTTTCTATATTTGAGTATGTTATTTTGTTTTTAGACTGGCTCAAGTTTTGGTTTTAAAAAAAAAACACATTGACATGACCAATTCAAAATCTGTTCATGTAAAAGATTTGAACTTTGACCTTATACAATTGTAATGAAGGTGCTGTGTAAAATTTGCATGTAGATGCCGCTGTATTCCAAATTCACATCATTTCTGAATTCCATTAAACATGCATGTTTGGCATTCTACAATAATTCTTTAAACACTGCTTTGTAGAATCATGAGTCTGCTTCCTTGCGACAAACTTGAATAAAAATTGTGTTTGTCAACAACTGTATGCTTAAAAAAAACTTATATCAGAGTTTGTGTTGGTGCATCTCGTATTAAAATAACTAGATAGCACACTGATTGTAGTCAGTGTTATGTATTTTAAAATGCTTTTATTTTGTGAAAAGTAAATTTTGCAAATTTCACAAGTCGGTAAAAATCATGAAATTTTGTAGTAGTGAAAATTGTGTTGGTCTCATGTGACAATGTATCAGTGATTTCTTCAAGGTTGCCATGAAATTGTGAAAATTTCTAGCATTGAAAATTAAACAGTTTCCAGTAATAAACACCAGATTTTGTTATCTGATCCTAAATTTGTATAGTGCGTCTAAGCTCTTCAATAACCAAGGATAAATGTATAGTGTATTTAGTTGTAAATTATCAGTGAATGTTGGTAGTGTTTTATTATTAAAGCCAAATAACTGTCTTTCAACCCACCATGTGTAAACAAAAATTCAATATGAAATATACAATAGTCCTGTATAGTAGTACATTCCGATTCAGAATTTCAGTAGTTAGCTTAATAACGCCGTTCATCGCAAGAATAATTGCGACCAAAAATGGCAGTAAACTAATGATATTTTATATTTCATTACATGTAGTTACTTTGAAAGCAAAGTGATCCTTCAAAAACTTTTATGAGAAAAAACTGGCAGATGGGCAAAGTTAATAATAATGATAAACACATTAACAGTAAACAGTAGCAGTATTTTAATAATATTTGAACTGTCTGTCAGTGGGTAAGATAGAAATCTATGTAAATAGATAATCAGGTATTTAAGAGTGTATGTAGGAAGTCTGTATATTATATTGACTTCAAATGCCCTTATAAGGTAATTTAGAATTCAAACTATCATCTCATTAATAAGATAAAATAATAGTTGTGTGGAATTATGAAATTTTTACAGTAGTGCATGGTTACTAATAAAAAGTAACCTTGCATAGTGAAGTATAATAAGCAAAATGGCGGGATTCACCTCACATGAGACGATTTCATTTTATGATGGGTTGGATTGCCATGTGTGCTCACAGATGCATGTACTTACAAAGTTAATTCTTCTGGTATTTTCATCAGATCATTATTTTACTTCTATGGCTCACTTTAATTTAATGTTGTCATGACAATCAGTGTTAGTTCTGCTACATTCTGCCATTTTTATCGTTTCAAGAGATTATTTGTGTCATGTTTTATTGTTTCTCGGGATGCAACTTCCCAATTAAGTTATGCAGTGTATGAAACTCTGTTACATACAATTATCACTGATGTGAGTGTAGCATTTATTGTTTGCTGACAAGTGTTTCACATTTGAGTTTTAATCAAATTTACAAAATTTGGGTCATTTGATTTAATGAACATACCGGTAGTTTTTAGACTGCTTATAGTTGCCATTGTTTAATTGCCATTATTTCTTGTGGTGTCTAAAGCACAACCTGTATTTAGACAAGAACCTTGAAAGTATCACATGATTGAAAAAGTAATACTGGTAGTAACAGACTGTAAGCATATATTGGTATTACAAACAAATTTAATGACTCAAGTCTTTCATCCAAACAAATGGATATGAATTATTGACTTTTCTTGAACATTTATGACTTTTATTTGATTTTAAGCATTTTATTTGTATATGTTGCTTTATAAACTATTTTTTCTGGTATATTATGGGAGAAACTTAATTTTATTTGAACAATGGTGTATTTTGTATATATATATATATGTATGTATAATTTTAAATTATGATAATTATTTATGTACAAGTTATATGAAACTAAAAATGATGTAGCATGAGTGTATCGATGTACGTGGCACTGAGCAATACATGAATATACATGTATGTAGCACAGGGCAATACATGAATGTGCATGTGTGTGGCACAGGGCAATACGTGAATGTGCATGTGTGTGGCACAGGACAATACGTGAATGTGCATGTGTGTGGCACAGGGCAATACATGAATCTGCATGTATGTAGCACATGGCAATACATGAATGTACATGTATGTAGCACAGGGCAATACATGAATATACATGTATGTAGCACATAGCAATACATGAATATGCATGTATGTAGCACAGGGCAATATGTGAATGTACATGTATGTAGCACAGGGCAATATGTGAATGTACATGTATGTAGCACAGGACAATATGTGAATGTACATGTATGTAGCACAAGGCAATACATGAATATGCATGTTTGTAGCACAAGGCAGTACATGAATATGCATGTATGTAGCACAGGGCAATACATGAATATGCATGTATGTAGCACAGGGCAATACATGAATATGCATGTATGTAGCACAGGGCAATATGTGAATGTACATGTATGTAGCACAGGACAATATGTGAATGTACATGTATGTAGCACATAGCAATACATGAATATGCATGTATGTAGCACAGGG